CCAGAGCAAGTGGTGAGTCGTACACAGGGGCGGGGGGGCAGAAGAAGAAGTCCTCTGAACAGGGAAGGGCAGGCAGAAAAGTTGGAAGATGAGAGCCTTTAAAGCCATGAAACCATAGAGACATGCCTGGAGTCACGAAACAGCCTGGCACACCCGATGAATTGCAGCTAGCCGAGTGTGCAAAAGATACATTTGGGGAAGCAGGCAGGAGATAGATCATGGCGGCCCCTTGAAAGACGCAATATTATCATACCCATTTTAGGGATGAGGAAGTGGAGAGACGTGGCCATATAACTAATAAATGAGAGATGGAACTTGCAGCCTTGCAATGAGGACCCAGCAAAGGTTTTGCAGCAAGAAAGTGACACAATCAAGTGTGCATTCCATTCCATCGGCAGCCTGAAGGGTGGATGAGGCAAGGTCTCCCTACGGCAGGGAGAGTATGGGAGCAGGAAGAGTGGGGGCCTAACACAGGAAGGGACGGGGGGGTGCGTGGAGAGGAAAAAGGCCCCTGCTTGACACTGGATATGGGGGTTTAGGGAAAAAAGGTGACTAAGACAAGCCCCAAGTCTCTAGATGGGGTGCTAAGTGGATGGTGAAGCCATTCAGTAAGATAAGAAATAAAGGAGAAGAACAATTTGAGGAAGGATGCAATGAGTTCTGTTTTTAAAAAACTTTCTATTGAAGTATAACATACATACTAGTTTTTAAGTATAACATACATACAGGGAAGTGCAGGTAAGTGTATATAGCTCAGAGAATTTTCACTACTGAACACACCCACATAACCAGCACTCCAACCAAGTAACAGAATATCACCAGCCCCCCAGATAGCCTCCCTGGCCGCTCCCTGCTCCAAATGTGACCAGGACCCTAGTGTCTAATGGCATAGATTACTTTTGCCTGCTTCTGTACATTTCAAATGGATTCATACGGTGTGTCCACTCTAGCATCTAACTTTCCACTCAGCATTGTTTGTGAGATGCGGCCATATTGTGGCATGGAGTTGCAGGTCATCCATTTTCATTGCAGTTTAGTGTTCCGCTAGTGGGAATTTGCCACCTGTACCCATTCTACTCTTTTTTTTTTTTTTTTTTTTTTTAGAGAGGGAGAGAGAGAAAGGGGACATGTGGAAGGGGCAGAGGCAGAGGGAGAGAGAGAATCTTAAGCAGGCTCCACGCCCAGCACAGAGCCCGATATGGGGCTCAGTCTCACGACACAGAGATCACTACCTGAGCCAAAATCAAGAGTCTGACACTTAACCAACTGAGCCACCCAGGTGCCCCTACCCATTCTACTCTTGACGGGCATAGGAGTGTTTCCAGTTTGGGGTTAATACAAATACTGCTGCTGAGGGTAATCTAGCACATGTTTTTGTCAGTTGGAGAACATATGTATGCATTTCTGGTGGGTAGCTACTTAGGAGTAGAATTCCTGGTTCATAGGGCACATATATGTTCCACCTTAGTGTAAGCTGCCAAATAGATTTTCAGAGAAGTTAGACTGACTTACATCCCCACCAGCAACATATGAGAGTTCAGGTTGCTCCATGACTGTGTCAGGACTTGGTTGGGCCCAGTTTTGGATAGTAAGAGACATCTATGGGGAGATACCTGGTAAACCACTCCAAGCAAGAGTTGGAATTTTGGGCTTAGGAAGCTTTATGAGGTGGGTAGAAGAAGCAGAGCTATCAAAGGAGCCTAAGAGGATATTCAGAGTGATGGGAGAACCAGGTGAACAGTGAGATGGAAGCTAAAGGAAGATGGGAGGGACTGAGAGCATGTTGGAGCATGAAGACAAAAGGTCAGTGTTGGGAAGAGTCCATTGGATGTGAAAATAAGAAGTTAGTAACTTCTTTTGCCAGCACAGGACTTGGCCTCCCCAAGATGGCACTCCCAACCTTCGTCGAGACCTAAGAGGATCAATTCTGCCCTTAACAGGTAGACCAGGGAATCTCTGGAATGGATAACCCATGAACAAGGGCCCAGGGGAGACAGAAGCTTGGTGACTACAGGTGAGGGGTAGCCCTGAAGTGCTCTGACTAAAAGATATGCTCCCCTGGACTCCCACAGCAGCCTATGCATAACCTGGCCTAATACTCACCACGTGCATCATCCAGGGGCCTGTCTTCTCCTGGGTCCTCCAGCCCCTTGCGGGCAAAGAGGGAGGCTTCCATTTCAGAAAGCCCAGGTCCTGATGCGGTGCCAGGCTCACATTGGACATTAAAAAGTGGTTTGCAGAATAGATAAATATGTAGTATTTAAATGAAGGCACAATTTGAAAAAGATAGCTTTTATAATTGTGACACAAAAGATGAGACCATTCCTTCACTCTCTAAAACAACCTGAAAGGCTTTTTTCGTGGGCATCATATTCAACTTTTAGATAGGAAAAATGGTTAAGGAGGGACTTTTATTTCCTATTGCCTACTCTCAAGTTTTGTTCAAGATTTTTATAATAGGTATGTGTTGCTTTTATAATTGGAAAAGAAATGAAGGTTTCCGTTTGGTTGAAAATGGGAAATGGAGCTCTGGTGCTTTAAACTAGCAAGGACTGTCTAATGGAACCTTCTGCTATGATGAAAATGTTCTGTACCTGTGCAGTACATCAGCCACTAGCCACATGTGGCCAGGAAGCACTTGAAATGTAGCTGGTGTGACTGAGGAATTGAATGTTTAATTTAATTTAAATTTTTAAAAACTTTTGCCCATTTTTTTAAAGACTTTTATTTATTTATTTGTGTGTGAGAGAGAAAAAGAGCACAAGTTGGGGGAGAGGCAGAGGCAGGGGGAGAAGCAGGCTCCGAGCTGAGCAGGGAGCCCAACTTGGGACTCGATTCCAGGACCCTGGGATCATGACCTGAGCCAAAGGCAGACGTTTAACTGACTGAGCCACCCAGGCATCCTGAATGTTTAATTTTATTAATTTTAAATAATTAAAACACAAATAGCCTCATGGGACTAGTGGTTATGCATTGGGCAGCAGAGCTTAAACAACGTATGCTAATGTATTCAAACTCTTTTCCTGTTAAATTGTGCATTCATCTCTGGAAAACAGTATGGAGTTTCCTCAAAAAGTTGAAAATAGAGCTACCCTATGACCCAGCAATTGCACTACTGGGGATTTACCTCAAAGATACAAATGTAGTGATCCGAAGGGGCACCTGCACCCCAATGTTTATAGCAGCAATGTCCCCAACAGCCAAACTATGGAAAGAGCCCAGATGTCTATCCACAGACGAATGGATAAAGAAGATGTGGGATATATATACAATGGAATAGTGTGCAGCCATCAAAAGGAATGAGATCTTGCCATTTGCAACGACGTGGATGGAACTAGAGGGTATTATGCTGAGCGAAGTAACTCAATCAGAGAAAGACAATTATCATATGATCTCACTGATATGTGGAATTTAAGAAACCAAAACAGGGGATCATAGGAGAAGAGAGGAACAAATAAGACAAAACCAGAGAGGGAAACAAATTATAAGAGATTCTTAATCATAGGAAACAAACTGAGGGTTGCTGGAGGGGAGGGGAGTGGAGTAGAGGATTGAGGTAACTGGGTGATGGACACTGGGGAGGGCATGTGATGTAATGAGCACTGGGTATTATTAAGACTGATGAGAGGCGCCTGGGTGGCTCAGTTGTTAAGCGTCTGCCTTCAGCTCAGGTCATGATCCCAGGGTCCTGGGATCGAGCCCCACATCGGGCTCCCTGCTCAGCGGGAAGTCTGCTTCTCCCTCTCCCTCTCCCCCAGCTTGTGTTCCCTCTCTCGCTGTGTCTCTCTCTGTCAAATGAATAAATAAAATCTTAAAAAGAAAAAAAGACTGATGAATCACTGACCTCTACCTCTGAAACCAATAATATGTTATACATTAATTAATTGAATTTAAATAAAAAGTGTTTAAAAAATAAATTGTGCATTCATTCTCTTTATTCATACTTCTTTATAGAAGTATCTTTATAGATAGTTCAGATGTTAGTTTTGTTTTTTTTTTAAAGATTTTATTTTATTTATTTGACAGAGAGAGAAAACCCAAGAGAGGGAACACAAGCAGGGGGAGTGGGAGAGGGAGAAGCAGGGAGCCCGATGCGGGGCTCGATCCCTGGACCCTGGGATCATGACCTGAGCCAAAGGCAGATGCTTAGCGACCGAGCCACCCAGACGCCCCTCAGATGTTAGTTTTATGTTAAATTTTGCACACTTAGTTTTCCCACATTAATTATACAGTATTTGTACTTTGTACTTTGTGGTTTGATATTTCCTGTACATCATAAACAAACCTTAAAAAGATTTTCTAAACAATGTGGTAATCCTAAATAACCTAAAAGTGTCACTGGGGGTAGGAGGAGAGGGCTAGGAATCAGCTTCTGAATAGCACATTTGGCAGACACTAGGGATGATGATGATGATGATGATGATGATGATGAAGGGTTAATAAGTAAAGGGAAAAGCTAGCACTGTTAATGTCAAATGCAACAATGTAAATGTAAATTGTAAGCATTGTTTAGGTAGTAGGTTCTCACATACCTTTTAAAAAATACACATAGCAAAAAAGACAGGAAAGATTTATATGAAAATGTTAACAGTGTTGTCTTTGGTGATAAGAAATACAGGTGCATTTTTTTCCCTCTTTGTACATTAATGTATTTTCCAAAATTCTATAAAGAACAAAAATAATACGAACATCTGGCTGGCTCAGCAAATAGAGCATGTGACTCTTCTTGGGGTCGTGAGTTGGAGCCACACTTTGGGGGGGAGAGTTCAATTTAAAATAATTATTATCCTTGTCTGTTTAATTTTACCGTCCCTAGTTTCTCAGCATCTGTGGATGTTATTCCTGGCAGATATTTACTTAGTTTGACTTCTTCCAGAAGGGGTTTTGTTAACTTTTATGTGACTATTTTTATTTCACTTTTCCATGGAATGAATAATTTTGTTGAATTTCTCTTTCTTTTTTTAACTTGATTTTTTTCCCTCTCTTGTCCTTTTGCTTAGCCACACTGGGATTATCGTCTACTGAGGTATGTTACAGTAAGAAAGCTATTTTTGAAGATTTTCCTAGCTCAAAATAATGTGTAGGATTATCACTTTAAAAAAAGGTATTTTTTAAAGATATGTTATTCTGGTGGCGGCAATGGCACATTTTCTCTGGGCAAGTTCAAGACTAGTGTTTTAATGAGAGAATGTAAGTAAACCAGGTCTTAATACAAGTGGTGTAATCTTGAATCCATTACCTTTTTTTTTTTTTTTAATTTTATTTATTTGACAGAGAGCGCCAGAGCATAAGTAGGCAGAAAGGCAGGCAGAGGGAGAAAGAGAAGCAAGCTCCCCACTGAGCAGGGAGCCCAACTCGGGGCTCCATCCCAGGACCTGAGCCAAAAGCAGACACTTAACTGACTGAGCCACCCAGGTGCCCCTCCATTACCTTTTAAAACTGGATCCCTAAAAGGGACTTCCAGGGGAAGTGAGGAGCCTGACCTTGGACTGGGGCTGCCCCAGCCCCTGAAGATAACTACAATGGGGCGAACAGTGCTCCCTGCCTGGATGTGTCTGTTCACCCAAGTGGTGGGTATTTATTAATCTGGACTCAAAGATGAGTGGCAAGTGTGTGTGTTAAGGCTGAAATAATAATCCAGGGTTTTTGTTTTTTTGTTTTTTAAAGATTTTTATTTATTTATTTGACAGAGAGAGAGAGAGAGAGAGAGAGAGAGAGAGAGAACACAAGCAGGGAGAGTGGGGGAGGGAGAAGCAGGCTTTCCGCAGAGCAGGGAGCCCGATCTGGGGCTCGATCCCAGGACCCCGGGACCATGACCTGAGCCGAAGGCAGACGCTTAATGACTGAGCCACCCAGGCGCCCCTGTTTTTTGTTTTTTAAGATTTTATTTATTTATTTGACAGAAAGAGAGAGAGAGAGCACAAGCAGGGAGGAGGGGCAGAGGGAGAGGGAGAAGCAGACTCCCCGCAGAGCAGGGAGTCCCATGTGGGACTCGATCCCAGGACTCCGGGATCATGACCTGAGCTGAAGGCAGACGCTCAACCGACTGAAACACCCAGGCGCCCATGAGCAAGGTTTTTGAACACAAACTTTTCCCAGGGGCTCTGGCCAGAGTTGCCTTTGACTGTGACTGACCCTCCTGCCCCTCTGGCTTCCCGCAGGATGAGGGTGAGGACCCCTGGTACGAGAAAGCCTGCAAATGTGATTGCCAAGGAGGTGCCAATGCCCTCTGGTCTGCTGGTGCCACCTCCTTAGACTGCATACCAGGTGAGTGTCCCCTCTCCTTAAGGGCACCAGATCCTTGGGGTGTCCTTAGGAACACTGTTTCTCCTCTTCCCCTCAACCTGGCTGAATTAACATCCCCCCTCCCCGCCCCTGAACACACAGTTGGCCTCTGAGCTTCAAATCACACAACGAGCACTGTTCCAACATACCACACTGATGTCGTTTCGAAACAGCTTCTTGCATCTCTCCTTGGCCTATGTGAGACGGTGAGCCGGAACCTCTTTTCAATGAAACAGACTCAAGGGATTTATGAAAAGAAATCAAAGGTAGGAGGCGGGGCATTTTGAGAAGAGCACAGGCTTTTGAGCCAGAAAGACCAGAGGTGGAACACTGGCTGCCTCATTTCTTAACTCTGGGACTCCCACTTTGGTCTTTTTCTGTCAAATGGAGGTAATTGTACTGCGCCTGAGGGTTTATTGCTCACCAAACAACCGTGTGCTTCCCCACATCCCAGTCCCCTTGTAGTCAGGTGGCACCGTATGAGCAGTTCCAGCCAAAGTGAGAAGTGTCTCTTCCAAAATGAGCATTTAAGGGCTGGTACTCAACTCTCTGGCTCTCCCTTCCCTGCTTGAGAAAGTGGTTTCTCCTTCAGTGTGGGTCCCAGGAGATTAAATGGAGCAGAAACCCCTGCCAACCTATAATGGACAAGTCACCTGAGCGAAAAACGCTATAATGGACAAGTCACCTGAGCGAAAAACGCTTGTTGTGTTAAGCCTCTGAAATTTCCAAGACAATTTGTTCTGCAGGATAACATAGACATTCCTGGCTAGTCTGAATGTCTTCCTGTAAGGTTCGTGCCAGCAAACTTTGTCTGTAAAGGACCAGATGCTAAATATTTATGACTTTGCAGGTCAAAGGGGCTCAGCTCCTCAATTCTGCCACTGTAAGGCGAGAGCAGCCATAGACGTGACACACGGCCATAGAGCATGGCTGTGTGCCAATAAAACTTTATTTACAAAAACAGGTGGTGAGCCACATTTGACCCAAGGGCCACAGTTTGCTGACCCTTGCTCTAAGGAGTTGTTATGAGGAACCAGTGGGAGGAGGCATGAAAAGCATCTTGTGTTGTACCCAGCGAACTGTAGCTTAATAAAGGTCGGCTCCTTTTATTCCGGCCTCCTGAGAGCTCACATTCGGACTTTCAGAGGCTTGGGGGCCCAGCAGATACTTGCAGCGCTCACTCCTTTCCATGGCTCAGAGCCTCTTTTGCTTGAAACTGTCTTTGTCACCCCTCTCCAGGGTTATGATGGTGCCGTGCCAAGTCATTCACTTTACATAATCGCCTAATAATAGCTCCGCTAGAGACAGTATGTGTGTGCATGTGTGAGCTTCTCTTCATTATTTCATTAAATTTGCATTAAAATAGCAAATTGCGGGGGAGGCAGGGGAGTCTACAATGGCCTTTACTGGCTCCGTTTTCCTGTTTACTAAAGGGGTAGGAGTGGTCTGTTAGCTAAGTCTGTTGGCAAGCCGCAGTGGGGTCCCACTAAGTGCTGTTGAGTTTGGTGGGCTTCTACCGGACCTCCCACCCACTGTGTGCCCTGGCAGGAGCTCCAGCAACCACTCTATACTGGTGTGACCTGCCCAGCCAATATGGAAGCACCCTCCTTAATAATCCATTTAAAATTCAATTCCACCCTTTGTCATCATGTGCCTATTATATGCCGGGCACTGACGGGAAGATGAAAACGAAGGCATTAACTCCAGCCCGGAGGAGTTTCCCATGCCGTGGGAATAAATGTTCTCTTCACCAGAGACCTGAAGACCGACTGGAATTCCACTCGAAGTTCTGTCTGCAAGCAACTTAAAAATAGATTATTTCTGCAGATGGGCTTCATTGACCCAATCGACTGTGAGGCGGAGGAGGGCTGTGTGTTTGAGGAATGTGAAGTCGACCGGGGTCCCTCAAGCTCTCTCCCCACACACCTGCCAGGAACTTGAAGTTCTGAAATCAGAAATTCTTTTTAGCTTAAGCGTTCCCCTCTCCCCAGCATTTTTTTTTTTTTTGGTTGGTTTTTGCTTTTGTTTTATCTTTTAATGGCACAGATATTTCCAGGAAGGAAAAAATGCAACCTAAGTGTGAAAGAGTTGGTTCGTTGGTGTTAATGGGTTTTTCCACGAAAGAGATGATTCAGGGCAGTAGGACTAGCCACAATGTTCCAGAAGTCACTTGCCCATCAGTGCCTCAGATCCTCAGCAGAATGTGAAGAATGTTGCTTGATTTCTCCGGACCCTGAGATTCCGTGCTTCCACCAGAACCCGCCTTAGGAGGGAAGAGCCTAGAAAGTACAGAAGGACAGAAGGGAGGGTCACTCGGAGCTGCCAGGAGGCGCTCCCAGGAGCATACTGACTGTTATTGTCCAGTGTCCCCACCCGTGAAGAAGAAGGTGACTGACTTCGGCTTAACGTTATGAAAATTACTAAAATCACTAAAGGGTCTGTCTTCCGCAGTCGAGCTAAGATTACCTTGGCACTCCGAGGGGGAAACGGTGTAAGGAAAGTATCAAAATATAAGAAATCCAATGATTCGTTACTGTTTTCCTTTTATTCTAGATCTTCTATTCCTATATTATTTTCAAGTTTCTACTCTATTCTATAAACATTATTCTGCATTCTACTACATGGCCATATAGGTTCAAGTCTCATACACATGCATATTAATATTCACCTCTCTCTTGTCAAGAACGTCCCTCAGCTCTCCTTGTGCTTCTCTAGGTTAACGTTCTTTAGAAGCCTCTCTGGCCTTCAGGCCTACCAGCCAAGAAATCAGCTACTGAATGAGAAAGGCTAGTATGTTAAGTGTAGTCTGGATTAGCAGCACATTATGAATACGCCTTTATCCATGGAATGAGCAAAGCATCGCTCGCTCAGAAGAGCCACTTGTGCCACAGAAGACGTAGGTTTTTCCTTAAAATGAATGTAGAAACATTCTTTTTCTCCTTAAGATGAGGGTAAAAACAGGCTTTGTAGCTACACTAACTTCCATCGGGCAGAAAACGTGCGAAGGCCATATTCCGTGTAAGTGTGATGGCGAGCCCCTTAATTCCTCCAGCAACGTTATTCGTGTCGCTTAATCCTAGTTTATGCTCAAGTGACAGTTTCTTTTTGCTCAGGGCGGTGGGTGTTCTCTGGGCTGGGCAACCTCTGTCTCCTCCCTGAGGTTTCTGCTTCCTGTTTCTGCTGTTTTCTCTGCTTATTCCTAGCGGCCGCCCAAGATGGGTGATAATCTTTGTTGATCCCTTCACCCAGCATCCAATCAATAACTATCGAGGGCCTAGCATATGCAGGCGTTCTGCTCAGCTCAGAGGCTAGAATGGTGAGCCAGACAGACCAGGGAGCTGGCAATTAAATTATCACAAGGACAGGGAATAAGTAACAGGAACAGGGTGCCTGGGGAGGCAGCAGCTGGGGTCCCTTACCCAGCTCAGGGCAGGAAGGGGAAGCGGGCTGAGGTCTTCAGCATGAGTAGGGTTGGCCAGCTGAAAGAGGAGGAGAGGGGACAGGAGTGTCCCAGGCAGAGGGAGCAGCCTCATTGGAAGGCCTCCAGGCCTGCATGAGGACCAAAACGGAGCTCAGCCAGGACCGCGGAAGGAGGAGGAAAGGAGAAAGAGGGGAAAGGAGGAGTCAGCAAAAATAACATAACTTGACTGCAGTTTACTCCACAGCGCGCAGAGCATGGGAAATGTCACATTTCCTATTTTTCCAAGTTTAAATAACTCCAGCTTTAGGCCTCCTTTGTCATGGCTTGTGAGGAGTCTAAAGACAGATCCTTCCTCTCTCCTTGGACTACATGAAGCCCCCATGGGCTTGCAAGGGCTGCCTGGGGGCAGGGCTTAGGCTCAGGCTAGGTGGCAGACTCTCTGCCTGGCCCCCAACCCCACTTGAAGGTGGACACCTTGGTGGTGGCTCTTCTCCCCCTGAATCAAGCTCAGCTCAGTCCCGGGGACCTTCCCGGGTTTCCTGAGGGGGTCTCCCTGACCCCATCCGTGGTTCAGCCCTCTCAGAGGAAGCATGTCCCCGCTGAGCTCAGGCCCCACCGTGAGCACCCCCCTTATCCCCACAAAGGCCAAAGTCCAGAATCTCCAGTCACCTCCTCTAGCACCATCAGCTAATCTCTGTTGAGGCCTAGACCTTCCAAATTCATAAATCTGAGAGATGCTATGCTGTCAACAGCTTTTTCCTCTCCTGAATCACACACACACACGAACACACGAACACACAAACACGAGCGTGGGGCTTATTCTTCCTGGCGCAAGAAGAGCCCAAACCTTTAGAAACATGAAGCTGGACTCCTTCTCAGGGAGATGTACAGGAGATGATGGGGGCAGGACAGAGTGGGGTAGAGGGAAGTTACATTCCTTCCCCGGGTGAGTCTTCACCAGAAAGGCAAACATGAAAAACTCAAGAAGACATCAGTATATTCCCACAACTTCACCCTATTACACCCTATTACACCTACTTCACCCTATATATATATATATATATATATATATATATATATGTCTTTTTTTCTATTACACCAATATAATCTGTTGCTCTTGGCCAGGCACTACAGACTCTACAAACATTATTTCATGTAATCCCAGGGACATTATGGAGGCAGATACTGTTGTGCCCATTTCACAGATAAGGAAATTGAGATCCAGAGAGGTTAAGCAGCTTGCCTGAGCTCACACAGAGAGTGGGATCCAATCCCAGCTCACATTGACTCTCAGCAGGCATTCTTGGCCTTGGCTGCTCATTACAATCCCTTGCAGCTTTACCCCTAGCCAGGTCCTACCCCAGACCAATGACATCAGCATCTCTGCGGGGTGACCTGAACGTTAGCACTTCCGTAACTCCCCAGGTGATGCCCAGGCAGAGACCTGTCAGACAGTCTCTGCTTTGTGCCCCGGGCCACACTGCCGGCTTTCTGGGTGGACAGCTGGGTAGCTAGAGGCACCAATGCCTGAGACAGGAGCACCAGACAGGGGGAGGCTTGGGGCTTGGATGCTGAAGGGCTCGGTTTTGGATGTGTGGGTGTGAGGGGTTTTTGGGTCACCCAGATGGAACCATTCACCTGGAAAATGGACGATGGTTAGCTAAGGCTTGGGGCCTGAGAGTCCGGCATTGGCTCTCAGATGGCACCTGAGGCCATGGGGATGGCCAGATCATCACTTTCCTGGAGAGTGTGGGCAGGGCCCGTCTAGATCTCACCGGCCTCCGAGGCCATTGCCGCTGGCTAGGTCTCCACAGGTTCCCAGCCCACTCTTAACTATTAGATGGGCTAATTGGAAAGAAATGGCAAGAGTTGTGAGGGGAAAACAGAGAAAGAGCAAAATGCCAAGAATAAAGCAATCAGGAACGGGCTGAAGGCTTTTCCTTCCCCTCTGCTCCTGCCCTCCAAGCTGGCGGCCCCGGAGCAGGAAAGGGGAGGTTCAGGATAGAGGGGCCTTAAAGACATCCACAGTTAGAATTTAAGTGACAACCTTGGGCCCAACTGAAACCCAGCTTTCGGGCGCTGCGACCTTGTCCCTCCTTTTGGGGGCACGGGCTTGTCTTCCAGGTCAGAGGGGAATTGAGGAGGGGGAGGAGGCCCCAAGGCCACGGGCAGTAGCACTGAATCTGCCAACCAACAAGGGCCTTCCCTGACAGGTCAAGGTTTCCAAAGTGCGCTTTGAAAGTGTGCTCGTTAAAAATAAGGCTGCTCCAGGGGTGGAATACTGGAAACTGCATCCTTAGCAAGCCCTCCTGATGATTTGACCGCACAACGCCTGATCGAGCGGCCCATAAAGCACTCCTGTCCTCACTCCCAGGAATTCCCATTCTTTTAATAGGTTCCTGAAGCCTTGGGTACTAGATAAACTACCAATACAGTCCCCTCACCTCCAGCCCCACTGAGCTGCAGCTACTGGTGGGGGTTGGACACTTCCCTTTGGTACACTGGGCAAAAAGGTGGTGAAGCCTCCCTGGTCAGAGGTCTGAAGCTGTCTTTCTGTCTTCAGCTCTCTGAGGACAGGGCATGACTATTGTGCGGGCATTCTGGTCTCAGGATGGATCGCATTCAAGCTTTCACATGCTTCATTCTGTCTTACTGACTTCTGAAAATTATCCTCCAGAGAGACCTCAGCACTCATCTTACTGTTGGGAGGCAATGATGCCCCAGTAAATACGTTCAGCTCTTCGATCTGAACTCAAATTTACACATGGAAAAAAAAAATAACTTACTTGACGCTTATTGTTCACAATCAGAAAACTGGAAGAATGTCTTTGCATAAGTTTATCATTTGTTTTCTATAGAAGTTGAGCTAGAACCTGCGTTTGATTAGAAAAGACCCCCCCAAGTAGTGGCTTATGAAATTACTTTTGTCTTGACTCGTAGTAAGGCTATCAGGGCTGAGGTCTCTGCCGTTCTTTTGGCCTTACCCTCATTGTGCAAGATGGCTGCCTCTGTGCTAGCTGTCAGGTTTTCCTTCTAGGCAACAGGAAGAAAGAAAGGGTGAGCAAAAACTGATCAGAAATCCCCAGCAGACATCATCTTATATCTTACTGGTCACAAATTGTATCATGTGGTCACTTCTAACCACAAGACAGACTGGGAAAGATGGTTTTTTTTTTTAGCTGGTTACATTGCTGCCCAACAAAATTAGGGCTCTTTCGTCAAAAAGAAGGGGAGAATGGATGCTGGGCAAAAGTTTTTGACCAGGTAACCCAACACTAAATGCGAGAAGAAATACATGACAAGCAGCAAACAGTTAACATCTAAGAACTAAATTTGGCTATTCTTATTTGGAAAAAAAAACCTCCTTTCAACTGTACCTCATTCAATAGTCAGGCACATTTCACACCCCCCCCCCTTTTTTCTTCCATTAGACTAGTGAGAAAACTGCAATTTACAAGTGAGAAATCGGTCTCAATGTATAATTGCCTTTCTTGCCTCTCACCATTGTTTCGTTTCTATCATTAGCATCCTATGCTGCCCGGGGACAAGTAGGGACCCTGATGTCATCATGCAGGATGGCTAAAACTGTGTTCATGCGGAAAATAAAGAGTATGGCATTTAAGTATATTTCTCTGTGAACCTCTTGGTTTTTTTAAATGTCTAAGTTTGTGGAGGAGGTGAAGTATTTCTCAGCCCCCCCACCTCAGGTTGCCATAGAGCCCCTTTTGTCTGCTTTTATGAATGTTGTGAGTCTCTATGGAAATCCTTTTACTTCATCTTCACTCTCTTCTCATAAGAGCAGTGAGTAGGTTGAAGATCCATCGTGAACTGTGCTGCCAAGCAAAACATTCTCCACCTTCCAAAGCACAAATGAGATGGTTTGATTTGTCATTTTAGTCATGTCGTGTTTGTTGAGTGTTGCAATGTGATACAAGTGTTTTAATGTATGTTGCCTTTTCTTTTCCAGAATGCCCATATCATAAGCCCCTGGGGTTTGAGTCGGGAGAAGTTACACCAGACCAGATCACCTGCTCCAACCTGGAGCAGTATGTGGGCTGGTATTCCTCATGGACAGCTAACAAGGCCCGGCTCAACAGTCAAGGCTTTGGGTAAGCAGGGCAGATGACTCAGGTAATTTTTTTTCATGTGATTTGAAAAATGCACATCTCTGTAATAAACAAATGGCAGAATGCATTTATTTATTTATTCAACAAATATTCATTGAGTGCCTTCCACATGCTGAGGACTGTGGACAAGGTGGATGAGGTCCCAGCCTTCAAGAAGCACACAGTTTGGAGGGCCAGAGGGACTCTGAGCACATAATCACATAACTGATCATTAAGTGTGTTAAATGCTGTGCAGGAGACAAAGAAGAAAGACCTCATTCATTTGAAGTACAGGGAAGACTTTCTAAGGAAAAGATATTTAACCTGAGACTTGCAGTTGGCCAGGTGAGGGGGTCGGGGAGGCACAGAATACAGCAGGTGCAAAGGCCCTTTGTTGGGAGGCTCCCTGAAGGGCACACATGGGGATGGTAAAGAAGGTCAGCACAGTTAGAACACAAGGGAGATAAGGCTAGAGAGGCAGGCAGAAGTCAGATCATGAAGTCATGTTAAGGATTATGGTCCTTGTCTTAGGCATAATGAGAGTTCCTTGAATGTGCATTAGTTAGAATACAAGTTTGTGCTGCTGTAACAAAGAGCCCCAAAGTATGGGGACTTAAATAACATAGAGGTTTATTTCTTGGTCATCTAGAAGTTTCATTAGGCAGGGTAGGGTTGGTATGATGGCTAATGGTATCAGGGTTCCAGACTCTTTCTACCTTGTTCTGTCATTCTTCACATGAAGCTTCCATCTTGGGGTGCAAAATGGCTGCCCTCGCTTCCCCTATCACATCTACATTCTAGTCAGTGGGGAGAAAAGAAGAGCAGGGTGCACACACTTTTAAGGATACAAGCATAATCATATTGGCTACTTTGCCCATAGCCCATTAATCAGAATTTGGTCAGAATGTCCCACCTAGCTGCAAGGGAGACTGGGAAATATGAACTCTGCTGGGTGACCATTTGCCCAGATCAAACTTGGTGGTGTTCTATTACTAAAGGAAAATGGGAAGAGGACATTGGGAGACAATTAGCAGACTCTACCGGAGAAAGATTTGAAGTTGGGGAGTATTACAGTCTGACTTGTGTTTTAGGAAAAATCTGGTTCCTGTGGGGGAGAACTGTTTAGTTGCGGGGGGAGGGGGAGGCAACCCAGGGAGACCAGTGAAGAGAGCTAAAGTAGCAATCATCCAGGCAAGAACTGAGGTTGATATGGGCTAGAGCAGTGCCAGTGAAATGGAGAAAAGTAAATGAATTTGAAAAAATTTGAGATGGATTCAATAGATGGATTGGATATTTGAGGTGACAGAGAGGAAGGGGGCCAAGGATCTCTCTCAGATCACTGGCATGAACACCCAGGAGGATGGAGGTAGCATTCCAAGAGATGGACACTGGAAGGAGCGGTTGGGGTGGAGATAATAAGGAGTTCACTCTTGGACAGGTTTCATTTGGGATGCTGTAAGCCATCTAGACATTGTCTAGACAGCAACTGATTCTCAGATTCTGGAATTGAGAAAAGGTCTGGGACGGAAGTTAAAAATTCAAGAGCCACCAAGGAGCAAGTCTGGAGTTAGAAGAGAAGACAGCCAAGGACTGAGTCCCAAGAAGCTAATTAATATGCAAAAAATAAACAAAAGCGTCAAAGGGGAAATTATAGGTTTCCACAATTCAGGAGGGATATAGCTAAAAAACAAATCCGTTCCTTCAATGGTTAGTTTGCTTTACAATTGTCAAAAGCTCTTCCAGAGCCTCTTGGCTCAGCGTTCTGCACATGGGAGATACTCTCTGAAAGCCACGAATGACAGCACCTGAAGGAGATGCAGATATGTAAAAAGGGAATGAAATTAGGGTAAGACTCATGGAGAAAGAGACATCAGGAGAGACTAATGAAAACAGAAGGGGACTGGCGGGTGTAATAACCATGCATTTTCGTGTTTTGAAGAAAGACCTATTCAACCACACCTCAAAGGTGATTTCAGCTACACGCAGAGGCACTTCTTTGACCAATCAGTTGAGTCCGGCCATTGTTCTTTGCGCAGTGGAGATGCAGGGAGAAAGATAATGATACAAGTGTGACAGGCTGGATACTTCTTGGAGACAGGCCTCTCGGTGCTTAACAGATCGCAGCTCAGACTGCCCGAGCATTGCAGAGGTTCTTCAGGCTCCGGTAACCCCTCAAAGGGCAGTGCCGCTCAGCTCTTTGGAGGTGCTCATGGGGAAAGGCTCCTGGTGATTTGCTGTGTCCCTGGCAGGTGTGCCTGGCTCTCCAAGTACCAGGACAGCAGCCAGTGGCTACAGATAGATCTGAAGGAGGTCAAGGTGATTTCAGGGATCCTCACCCAGGGGCGCTGTGACATCGATGAGTGGATGACCAAGTACAGCGTGCAATACAGGACGGATGAGAACCTGAACTGGATTTACTATAAGGACCAGACAGGAAACAACCGGGTAAGTCTGGCTTACTCCAAACTACCTTCAGCTCACACTCTCTGGGCCTTCCTTCCTACTTCCACCCTGTCAGACCACTGACTCCACGGCAAGGGAAGTCATCTGTGATCTTCCCCACAACATGGTCTACTGTCAGACGACAAGGCAGGTGTCTTTGCTTGCTGAATCTTGGGTGCCTAGCAGTTTGTTTGTGAATGAGCACCACTGTTGTGTACAGAAGAAATCTTTGTCTGAATTCTCTTATCAGTTTATAGTTGCTTGAATAATCAAAACTGGCCATTTGGACTATTTCAAACTCACTGGGCCATCGAACACTTTGCTGCATGGGTCTGACTTGACCTATTATTGATGTGGCTAGACCCTTGTCCATTTATGTAGATATGGCCTCTCCTTACTACTAAGACTGTCTTCTAGGAAGATTTGGACAATCCAGCAAGTTAACCACTGAACTATGTAAATGATTAAAATGACTCCAGCAGTGCAAACACAGAGGAACTTAAGCCTTTGCACAAATATATATCCTACTAACCTCTAAAGGCCAAGCCCCAAGTCTTGTTCACCATAGACTGAACACAGTAGGCTTGTAATTAAGTATATATATATAATCATTATTTTATATATATATATATATAATATATTTGCAATGAATTAAAAACTCACTAGCTGTTCGGAAATGTTAACTATCCTTTTGCCTGAGAGTAAGGACTTCTGAGGCTAATTTGGACATTTAATCAGATTAAGCAGACACGTGTGCCTGGAAATCAGAAGGCTTTGTACTCTCTGATGACAAGTTGTACAGCAAGACATTCATGGGTTGAGATTTCAAGGAGTTTGATTGAGTACAATAAGAAAAACCATCTTGATACTTACACATTTTATTTCATTTTTGCTCTTGTTAGTCGGCTTTTCAAAAATAAATGAGAATTTTTTCAAGTCCCGTCTGCATTTCTGAAGGCCTTGACAGTTTTTTGCAAAAAGGCACTCTACTCAGGCCCTTGTGCAGTCTGGAGGGGCCTGTCCCATCCTCCCTCTGCAGCTGTCCCGACTTGAATAGGCTCAAGGGCAAAAAGCTGAGAGAAGGGGATGTGGGCTGTTGCTACTGGGAAGAGGGGCAAGATCATGGCATCTGAGGTCCTTCTTGTTTTGTAGATGGATGAGGCCAATGTAGCAGCCAGGTTTTTTTTAGGAGATAGTCCCGGAAAGAAATGAAATGCTCCAGTGTCACTGCAACTCTAGAAAGACTACAAAGAATGATTTCTTTGGAAATGTAGCCAAACAGCCATGGCATCATGCTCTGTTGCATCCCCCCAAAACACGAAGCAAGCCCTTTTTCTCTCTACTTTGGGTACTGCAATCCCCCTGTCAGAATCTTGTTTTTATGTCTCTTTCTTTTCTAAAAGCAGTTTTCCAAGTCTATTTGCCATTTGTATCGATGTAGAGATACACACTTAAGCTTTGGCTCACAACTTCAGGGCCAGCATACTTGAGCTTTACTCAAGCCCCACTTTGGATACCTTTGGAACAGAGGGACATTCCTCTTTGTAAGTGTGATGTGGTCCTTTTCAAAATTTGTCAAAAGGCAAAGGATTAAAACACAAATTTGGTGATAAGGATCAAGAGGCATTTTCTATCAGTGCCATCCAATAGAACATTCTGTGATGATGGAAATGTTAATATCCGCACCGTCCAATATGGAAGCCACTAATTACACATAGCTATGGGGCACTTGAACCATAACTAGTGTGACTGAGGAAGGAAACTGTTAACTGATTTTAATTCGCTTAAATTTAAAGAGCCACATGTGGCTAATGCTTCCATACTGGATGGTGCAGTTCTAGATGTCCCCACAGAGTGACTCGGAGATGCCCAGAGCACACAGGTGCTGACTAACATGCAAGTTCAGATTTGGGCGGGCGGGGGGTGGGGGCACGGGCAATCCTCTGAGCCTTAACCAGTTGCTGAGATTTCTCAAACTTCAAAGTTGAGGCCAGCTTCAGATAAGAGTTGTTCTTCCTTTACCATCCTCTGATGTGATCGCGATAAGATTTCCTCTCTCTTTAGGTCTTCTATGGAAACTCAGACCGAACCTCCACAGTCCAGAACCTCCTGCGGCCCCCCATCATTTCCCGCTTCATCCGGCTGATCCCGCTGGGCTGGCACGTCCGCATTGCCATCCGGATGGAGCTGCTGGAGTGCGTCAGCAAGTGTGCCTGAGGCCTCCCTCAGCTCAGCACCTGCCGTGGTGGGGGGGAGGGTGGAGGGCTCAGAGCAGCCTGTAGGGGAACCCTGACTCGAACAGGGTGACAAACACAGCTGTATTTTACAAGCTGTTTTCAGTGCAGAGCTGGGCAGAAAGAATTCCTTTTTTAAAAAAATATAGTTTCCAATTTCAAAGAAAGAGAAAGAAAAATGAACTTATTCCCCACTGCAGGCCAAAGAAAATAAGAACAAAGAAAATGTCCCTAAAACCAGTTTTCATACAAAAGCCTAAGTAGCAGGGGTAATTTGCTGCTCTTGGTTTTTGTTTTTGTTTTGTTTTTGGTCTGACAGTGTGAAAGGTGTGGTCCCAGGGAACACAAAGGAGCCCTGATAATTTAAAAACTCTTTTGCTTTACCACACTGAAAACAGGAACATAGTTTCATAAAACTTTGATTTGAATGCAAATGGGGAGCAAGCTTGCAGTTTCTCCTTCAAGTTTTCAGTGGATCATGGCCTTTTAGGACTTCAGAGTACCAGGTGTGCAGAGGGCAAGGTTTTGGGTGACTGGCTGGCCCAGACGGGTACGACGGTTGGGAGCCTGTGTCCTGGTCTCCTGTGATGTGTACACACCCAATCACCCCCGGTAAAAGGGTCTCCTCTGCTCTGAGCTTTCACCCCCAGCACACAAGGATTGGGGTGGGGGTGGGGGGGGGTGGTTCCAGAGCTCTCACTACATACAGTTCCATTCTAGCAAATTTTTTGTCTGTGGTCGCTACTTGGGTGAATCCATGGGACAGGCTGCACATCTAAGTAGCAAAGTTTCTCTATCTTTAGGAAATCCAAATGACCAAAGCACCCCAGAATTTCCCCTTATCTAGGGCTACCATTTTTCAACAAGCTTAACATTTTAAAAACAGTTGGCCCGGGAGCTTATCACTGGCTACACAGAGGAGGCCCATTAGCTAAGTGCATGCTTTGCAGGAAGTGGTCAGACCCTATGTCCTAAGAAGGGCAATGTGGCTATGTCTCTTGTGACCCAACTGTTTAACCTCTCCCCCTTGCCTTGCAACACACAAACATGCCTGCTCCAGAGGCTGAAACGGCCTTGGGAAGGACCGGGCCAGGAATGGGCCTGGGGAGTGCATTAAGCGGGGACCTTTAAGGGACAACAGCCTAAGTCTCCTCTATCCTTTATAGCTCGGCCTGAGTTTTCAGGCCCTTGCCTGGGAGAGGCTGACAACATGGGGAATGGAAAGGAGAGGTATATGAAAGTAGGAGCTGAGAGGAGGTGAAACCAGAGGATGAGGGCCCTCTGTCAAGACTGGGGAATCCAAGACTGTCCTGGCCTTGACGCCGCTGAACCTCTACTAGAGGCTCATTTTCTTAAGTTACTTTCTATTTCAAATGCCAAGCCAACTGAATGGACTCACACTCACGCAATAGTGGACATCACATTCACCTTCTCTGTGAGCGGGAAGCCTCCTAAAAGCCCCAAATCTCTTCCCTGGAGTTTTGGGCTTAGAACAGCTTTATATTCAACCCACCATCTTTCTAATCCCCATGCTGTATACGTGAAGCTGGAAAAAAGCTTTCCTTGCTCAGTATTCTCTCAAATACAAACATATCAAATTTAAGGTGGAGGAAAAAAAAATCCTTCTCTGGCCTTAGGAAAACATGAATAAATCCATTTAGAGCAGACGCTGGATCAGAGCCCCTTACTGGAAAGTGAATGAACTTTTATCATAACATGGATTGTCAGACAAAATGGCGGTAGCATAAGAGCTCAGGTCCTCTACAACAGGCGCACCAGACACAGGAGGGGAGTACAGTTAAGAGGAAAGAAGAAAAGAATGAAACAGTGTGAGGCAGTGATAAAGGTTCCCCAAGTAATTGTTCATGTTGGAAATTTTTGTTTTGTAAAGGTTTAATGAGATAGTCATATACCATACAAATTTCACCCATTTCAAGTGTACAATGAATGACTTTTAGTATACTCAAGAGTGACCATTATCACAATTTCAGAAAAATTCATCACCCTAACAAAGAAACCCTGCACCCATTAGCCATCGCCCCCCCCCCACCAACTCACCCACCTAGCCCCAGGCAACCACTGATCCACTTTCTCTTTCTGTGGAAGAGAGAATATTCTCGACATTTCATATAAATGGAATCATACAATTGTGGTCTTTTCTGTCTGGCTTCTTTTGCTTAGCATAGTGTTTTTCCAAGGTTCATTCATGTTGTAGCATGTACTTAATTCCTTTTTACAGCTGAATATCATTCCATTTATACGCCTAGATCACACTGTATTTACCCATCTGTTGATGGACATCTGGGTTGTTTCCATGTTTTTGGCTATTATGAATAATGCTGCTATAAACAACTGTGTACAAGTTTTTGTTTGGAGATGTTTTTATTTATCTTGGGAATATACCTTGGAGTATAACTGTTGGGTTACATGGCAACTCTACGTTTAACCTTTTGAGGAACTGTCAATTTTCCAAAGTGGCCACATCGTTATGCGTTCCCACCAGCAATATATGAGAGTTCCAGGTTCTCCACATTTGTTATTACCTGTCTTTCTGATTAGAGCCATCCTGGTGTGTATGAAGTAGTATCACACTGGTTTTGATCTGCATTTCCCTAAGACTAATGAGGCTAAGTATCTTTTTATGTGTTCACTGCCTTTTCGTACAACTTCTTTGGAGAAATGTCTATTCGGATCCTTTACCTATTTTAAAATCAGGTGGTCTTTTTATTATTGAATTGTAAGAGTTCTTTATATATTCTAGATATAATCCCCTTATCAGATACACAACTTGCAAATACTTTCTCCTCTTCTGTAGGTTCTCTTCTTACTCTCTTGATGGAATCCTTAAAAACATATTTTAAAAATTTTGATTAAGTTCCATTTATTCTTCTCTTTTTGTTGCTTGTGTTTTTGGTGTCATACCTGAGAAACCATTGCCAAATCCAGATCATGAAGATTTACTCCTCTGTTTTCTTTCAAGAGTTTTATAGTTTTACCTCTTACATTTAGATCTTTGATCTATTTTGGGTTACTTTTTGTATATGGTTTGAGGTAGGGGTCCAACTTCATTCTTTGCACATGGACATCCAGTTGTCCCAGCGCCATTTGTTGAAAAGACCATTTTTCCCTCACTGAATGGTCTTGGCATCCTTTTTGAGAAATCAACTGACCATAAAGGTGAGAATTTATTTCTGGATTCTTAATTCTATTCCATTGATTTGTATGTCTTTTATGCCAGTACCACACAGTTTTGATTACTGTAGCTTTGTAGTGAGTATTGAAATTGGAACATGTGAATTCTCCAAAAATGTTTTGGCTATTGAGTCCTCTGAATTTCCATATGAATTTTAGGATCAATATATCAATTTCTGCAAAGCCAGCTGAGATTTCACATTGGAAATTGCTCTATACTCCAGGATTTAATAAACAATGAGATACCGATATCCATAAGATGCTTATCCTCAGGCAACTTGTTTATAACAGCATATTAATTATTTACTTCATTTAATTTATAACAAAGTATAAAAACAAAACTTTCATTGAGGGACATCTGAAGCCTAACAGAATCTTGCTAACACATGAACTGTGTTTGTAGTATTATTTCTTTTGTGGGGAAAAATTTCAATTAAAAAAATATATGTAGTATAGTAAAAACTCATTATTTTACCTTAGGTGAACATGTTTACTTCTAGTCTCACAAATGCTAGAGTGTGAAAGGCTACACTTTCAGGAGATTTTTTTTTTTTAATTGCGGTAAAATATACATAACATATTGCAGGAGACTTTTAAACAACTAAATGAAATGCTATGAACAAAGAAGTGGCATTAAGTGTTGCCAAGATTAAAAAAAAATCTGAGCTGATTTTGGTATTGAGTGTGGGAGAAGGTTACTTGGACAAAGCAAAGGTTACTTGGGCCTTTCAAAATAAAGGTACCACTATGAATTCAGTCTCGGAGGCCAGAAGACTGCACCCCTAAGGTGAGCCTTTGAAGAGATGCTGACAGAAGCCCATCTTTTTGTCTACCTGGAGCGTGGGTGCCAAGGCCTGCTAACAAATGCACAGCTGTAAGGGCTGTTGCTTCCCTTGTGATCCCAAGAATAGTGCCAGGCTGGGTGGTTCTTAACCCCAACAACTTTACAAGGCTGATGTGAAGATCAAATAGCATAAGTGCATCTAAAGAGCTTAATAGCTCTCTAGAACTGGCAGTCAAGACCCAGTAACACTGCTTTTTAACTTCATAGGGCTGCCAACTGAGGCACAAATAATAGCTAGCTACTATTTATTTAGAATCTATCAAGTGCTTTGCAGGTTACCATCTTATTAAATCCTCACAATAACCCAATGAAGTAGGTACTATTATTATTTCCATTCAAAGATAAGGAAACTGAGGCACAAAAAAGTTAAGTCACATGACTAAGGCCACACAAGATGTAGGTGATGCAGCTAGGATTCTACTCAGGCAATCAGACTCCAGATCCTGTGCTCTTAGCCACTTCACCAGTCTCTGGACCTCTAGTGACTTGTTTCAACGAAATGCTCTATTCTCAAATCAAATCAACTACCACCTGCTGGGAGATGAAAGGTGGTACATGAATCGCATATATGTGATGAACCCCATGTCAGTTCTCTATACATGGAGACGCAGCAACTGCCCTGTTACTAGTGTTTAAGGGTGTGGGCTTCACAGTGAACACACTAGGCTTCAAACCCTGGCCAGGTGACCGTGGGCAAGTTAACATGAAGTCCATAAACCTCGGTTTCCTCATCCACAAAATGAGGATACTACTTGCTTCAGTGAATTGCTCTGACAAGTAAATGTAATAATAAAAGTAAAAGCCTTGGCATTGTGCCCAGCCATAATAAGTGCTACCAACAGAAAAATTACAAGCCAAGAGATCGTTTGATTCAGTCTTGATAAAAAGTATAGTTGAAATCACAGACCACAAGTTTCTGGGACAGTAAGAAGAAACTCGGGAGTGAAGAAGTTGGAGACATGGTGCTTTTAAGAATGCACATCACTGGGTTTTACTTCCTATCCTTTGTTTAGAGAGATAAAGTTGGAGAATATTTATATATGTTATCACACAATTTAAGTTCTTTCCCCCATTAACAATAAGACCAACTGAGTAAATGACCAAAGACAAAAGTGAGGGCCTAAAATGGGTCGGTAAATCTGCCCCCACCCCCACCTGTTTTTGTAAATAAAGTTTTATTGGAACACAGCCATACCCATTTACATACTGCCTATGCTGCTTTTGCGCTACAATGGCAGAGACCCTATGGCCCACAGAGCTTCAATTATTTACTATCTGGCAGAAAAAAAAAAAAGTTTGCCAACCTCTACTCTAAAACATTAAGAAATACTTCATCTTTCTTTCTCCATCACATTGAGCAGGAGGCAGACATCTCTTTCCATCCTCCCAAACCACCAAGTGAGTGTCTAGCAATGTGCAAAGGAGACAACACAACACTCCAGTATGAAAGAAATCAGTTTTCAAAAGGCCAGGAGGGAAAAAAGCTTTATAAATAGGAAAAAAAAAAAGACTATCATCATTAAGTAACAGGATTTGCCCTGCTTTAACATTACTTTCTGTCCCTTAAACTGCTTTCAACTTCAAAGGCCCATTATCCCCCATTTGAAATCAAATGAGTCTTTACAAAGAAGGAACTAACATGGAGCTGCTTGCTGTACAAAAGGAGGGACCACAATGCTCAAGATGGGGACAGCGTGGTAATCACATCAGTCAGTGCAAAATCTGCATTTTATTAAAGACATTTGGGAAGATCCATTCAAAAATACATTGTGCTCAGTAAAAATTAACCATTTCATGCTGATAATTAAGGTTACCACGGAATAGATATTTGTATAATATTTACAGCAACAATAGAAATTTTACAGAAGTTTAGAATGGAATACATGCCAGAAAAAACTTGATAAGATGTACCAACACATGATACAAAGAGTTATATAAACACTTTACAAATGGTTCATAAGTAGCTTGTGAGGAATTTAAATATTCAACACTTTAAATTCAGTTTGGATTCAAAAATTAAAAAGGTTAACACCACATCACACCCTTGCCACAGTAAAAAGTATGGAATTACACTCTGTATTATGGATTATAAAGTCTGTGCAATTAAGAATTTCCACTGATTCTTCATCTACCACAAATTTGGATGTTACATCATTCTGGCTTATCCATATTTTTAATTTCATGCATGAGTAGGGTTCTCAAAATCACCCTGCCCTGTGTCTTCCCAGATACCCCTTTTGAACTTCCTAGAGATTGAAGAAGCTCAGAACAGTCTTCTAAGTATATATGGAATAACTACCTGAATTCGAAATGGCACAAAGCAATTCTTGGAGATAGGAATTAGGGGCAACTATTTTGTTTGGTTTTATTGTTTCTGTTAATCAATCCAAGTTTACAGTGAAAATTCACTTCTTGTAATCATAACTTACCCCTCCAGCCTGACTCAATCAGTGACCAAGGAGGAAATAAGGAGAGGGAAATAGACTGAGATGACTATACTCAATTGTATATCTATAGTGAAAATGGATTTTATACAAGCTTTGCTTTCCATTTTGGAAAATCTAAGCCATGGTGGAGAACTTAAAAGTTCTCCAAGAGAAAAAGCATCATTTTTTTTTTCCTTGAAACTCTGAATGCTTTGTAACTAGAGCTTTTGACAACTCTGGCGATAAACACTTTAATCCCCCAACAGGGACAAAAGTCAAGGCATCTACCTTTTCTATTCCTGGGTTTCGTCTGATTAGCCCTGAAGCAGAGCACTAGGACAAGCTTGTCTATGCCTGAAATGAATCAGATCAGGCTTTTGGGAGAGTAAAATCCCAAACCAAAGGAAGTCCTGAGGAAATCTTAGCAGTCTGTCAAAACGGAAGGGATGGAGGAACGGATAAGGCCTCTTTCTCCCTGATACTCTGTGCTGGAAGAGTAACGAACAAGGCAACTTCTAATCTGCATACAACATGGAAACCGATTTTTTTTAAGATTCCAAAGGAGGATCAAAATATGACCCAAGGATCAAATGGGGTTCAGAGAGCTTAACCTTG